GTATGAGTTGTAGTTTTGAGTGTAACTCATAGCAAGGCGCATAACATTTATAAGAAGCAATTTAAAAGTGCAGACTAGAGAGGAGAGTTTTTCCTTGGTTTGTTCCTGTTCTTGTTTTTTTTTTTAAAAAAAAACCTTTCATTTCTGAATGTGACAAGTAGTATAACTTAAATCATAAATTTACAGGAAAAAAAGTAGCAGTACGTTCTATGGATACTATGGTGTGGAAACCAGAGAAAACCTGTGGAATCCAAATATATATTGCTTTATATCCAGCTGGCTATGTCAAAAAGAAATAAGTTGGCTTCCATAAACCCTTTTCTAAACATTGCCATTTTTGAGTGTGGTTAGGTACGAGGGCAGAGTTTTTTGCTAATGAGTTCTTACATAATACCATGTTTTTCTCAATATTGTATTTTGTTAGGTTTTCCTTTAAACACACATTTCTGTAAGAACATTACAAGCTTTTTAAAGTGTGTGCTAGTGAACCAAAGGTAGGATTTACCTTTGACTAGAGGTTCCAGACTGATCTGGAGTCTAAAATAGCTGAGAAACTGTCAAACATATTAAATACACCCTTAAAAACAGCAACTGTTCCACATAACTGGAAAGCCACTAACGTGCTGACAATTAATTTTTCAGGAACCCAGTAAGCTGTTGAGCATTACAGTCTTGGGAGTTGTCTATATGAGAAAGTTGCATCAGTTTAATTTAAATCAGTTTTTAAATCTACTTGGTTAAACTGGAGCAAACTCCTTTGTTGACACTGTCATTTCAGTTTGAGGGGTTATTGCAGTTTATCTTAAATTGATTCTGATTATAAGCTAGACTAAAATGAGTCTGGCTTAAATAAAAATAAGAGCATACATGCCAGAGGTTTACACCTGCTTAACTAAAAGGGTTTCAAATCACAGCTTTGAATTTTTGGCCTTTTAAAAAAAGCTTCCCACATCCATTATTTTGGTAAATTTTTGTGGCAAACTTCTAGGAATCATTTTGTTTTTGGAAAAAGGAACCAGGAACTTTAAAAACAATTGGCTGCTGCAATATGCGCACAGGGAGCATGCTTAACAAATTAAAGGTACAGTACACAGAACATACGAAGACATCAGTTTTATGGATATAGTCACCCTATTATTAAGGATAATTTGTTATAAATAAGATTATTGTTTTAAAAATTGAATCTATGATTCACTACTTATTGTATTTATCTACTTTGTGCAGTTCTCCCTACTTTGGCATTTGCTTCTAGTCCATTTCCCATCACTTTCATGGTATCGTCCAATAGCATGCTGCTGAATGTTTGGGTTGCAAACACTGTGGAGGATTGCTTATTTGTTTTAAAAAAACTATTTTCATGAATTTGAATAAAAAAAGTTTAATGGAAACATTTCTATGCTTTTTAAGTATTATAAATGCATATCTGTAAAACCTAAAGTTTGTAGAAAGTTAGAATTGGCAGTGTCACTTTATGATCCTTTTTTTTTTAGCCTCGTGTCTAATTATTGTGTCTACATACCCAGCTTATGAAGACCCAATGTTATCAACATTCTACAGCCTATGAAAACTTCTGAAGGCCACATTCTCCAGGTTAAAAATTGTCCTCTGTGGGAGTGGCTAATAAAGATTTCCCGTGCACTGTAGGGATTGTCTTGGGAATTTCTACAATCTGAAATGACATGATAGATCCCAGTAAGAATCGTTATGGTGTGAATGTTTCTTTCATATGAAAGTAATATTAATCTTGACACTTGGAGCCATCCCAAACTCTTTTAATAAAACCAGGTAGCCCAGTAATATATGCATCAGGAAACAGAGCTTGAATAGCACCTTCAACATGCATCTGAGTCTAAAATTCTTATCTAGTGCACTGTACCCTGTTCTGTGAAGCACAAAAATGATTTTTGTTGGATTAGCTGATATAAGCCATTGATAATTTTTTGGCGTTGAGGCTGATTCTAGATCTCTGGCCAGATTCTTCCATTTTAATCCAATTACAATTCTTCTAACGGCATGTTCTTCTTCGAGTGATTGCACATGCACATCCCACTCTAGATGTGTACGCACCCCCTGCAGAGTCACCGGAGATTTTCCCCACAGGGCCATCGTGGCAAGATCTGCACCATGCCAGGCACATCTGGTTTCCCTTTTGACTGTACCGAGGAGCACGGTACTGAATGCTGAAATAACCCAGTGAGTTCACTCCTGTCTGCTGGCTCCTCCAATAACGCTGACTCCTGTGCTGCGGTGATACTGGTATTGACAGTGAGAGAAGGTCACTGGCAGTGACTCAGATACATTTGATCATATGTTCTGATACTCAAGATACATTTCCCCTAAGGGTGGAGTTCTGAAGAAAGTTTCAGGCAACTGTTAGTTGATTCATTATTTGTCATGACAAGGGGATTAATAAATGAAGGCTTACAGTTACCCTCTGTTCTACTGTATTTCATATTGTGTTTGATAACAAAATCCAGGTTTCAAACTATGGGTTGTTAGGGGCACCTCATGCAAAAGTAGAAGTAGTAACTGCTGCCTGGTTGTTATGGGGCACCTGAATCGTTTTCATTCACCAGGGTATAAATTCAAACAAAATATTTTGTGTATACAGACATACCACTGTGTCTTACTTTTGTTTAAATCATCCAATTCATTTTTGCAGTGCAAAGTCATTCAAAAGATAGGAATGACCTCAGTCGTCCATTATTTGACGATTTTCTCTTTTGGGACAGCCCACTCTTACATATTGTAGCCTTTTGAAAGGGGGCCGGTTGGAGTTCCTTTAGTGGAGGGAAAAAAAGAGAGTCTTTACTGTTGTGTTTGACATTTTTGGGACCACGCTGGATTCTATTTTGCCTACTCAAGAGAAATTCCAAAGAAGTTCTATTGGCATAAATAACGGAGTCTAAAATGTAATGGTACTGCAAGTGTAAACCATGGTGCAGTATATTATTTGAACTTTGCCTGTAAAATAATTTATTACAATCAGTCAGTTGTTGTCTTTCCCACAACAGCTATGGAGCACTGTTGGAAGGATGTTATTATGTTAGGTGAAACAGTAAAGACATCCATCATTCCTAAATGGATTAAAGAGAGGGCAGTAATCTTGAATAGTTCTTATTTTAGATGATCTCTTCCAATGCACCTGTAATTTAGAGAAATTTCTAGTGGCAAGCATCAGTAGAAAACTTCAGCAGTTTCAAATGAAGCAACTACTGAAAAGAAATTTGCTGAAAGAATGATTTAGCCTCATAGTCATACAAGCTAATTTTCTTTCAGATTTGGTGGCCTTAGCCAAGCAGTTGGACAGTGGGTTTTGGTAGATTGGCAGGTGGAATTCAGGAAAGGTTAGGAGTTATGTTAGACCATGTGAGAAGCACTAAGTGAAGATAAATGTTATCATGGTAATGATTTATTTGTTTGTATTGTAGTAGCACCTAGGGACCCCAATCGTAAACCAAGTTGTCATTGTGAGAGACACTGTGCAAACCCAGAACAAAAAGACAGGGTTCTTCTAAGAGTTATAGGAATATGAGCCTGTCATTTTCCAAAGTAATACCTTAAAGAGAACAGTCTGGGCGGCAGCGCAGCGGGGCTAAGGCAGGCTCCCTGCCTGCCCTAGCTCTGTGCGGCTCCTGGAAGCAGCTGCTAGGTCCTTGCAGCCCCTAGGCGCATGGGTGGCCAGAGAGGCTCTGTGCACTGTCCCTGCCCAGAGCGCCAGCTCCACAGTTCCTATTGGCCAGAAACCGCGACCAGTTGGAGCTGCGGGGGTGGTGCCTGCGGGCCTGAGGGCAGCATGCAGAGCCTCAGTGGCCGACCATGCACCTAGGGGCTGTAGGGACCTGGCGGCCACTTCCTGAGGGCCATGGTAAGAGCCTGGGATCCCCACCCTGCTTTCTGAGTCCTGAGCCCCCTCATGCACCCCAAGCCTCTCATTCCTAGCCTTACCCCAGAGCCCATCCCCTCCCGCGCTCTGAACCCCTCGACCCTAGCCAGGAGCCCCCTCCTGAATCTCTCATTTCTGGCCTCACCCGGAGCTCATACCCCCCTGCACCCATGCCCCAGCATGGAGCCCTCTCCCACACCCCGGAGCCCTCATCCCCGGCCCCACCCCAGAGCCTTCACCCCCCCTCCCGGATCACGACCCCTTGCCCCAGCTCCGTGAAAGTGAGTGAGGGTGGGGGAGAGTGAGTGATGGAGGTAGGAGGATGGAGTGAGCGGGGGTGGGGCCTCAGAGAAGGGGCGGGGCAGGGGTGTTCCTTTTGTGGGATTAGAAAGTTGGCAACCCTAGAGGGTCATGGTGTATGGGTAGCATGGCAGCACTCCCATTATATGAGATATGACGCCCTACACACAGAGTACAATGTTCATTTTGGACTGAGCAGTTTCTGCATTAGTTACCAGTATTAATGTATAAAGCATTGATTGCAAAAGCTGTCACTGTTACTGTTTGCTGACTTGTATAACTGGGGGGAGAGAGGGGAAGGCAGTCCTGAGTGAATCGTGGGAGGGAGTGGTGGGTGCATGCCAAATGGGTTGCCTGTGTACCTAAGTATCTTACAGTTGCACGTGTGCACTCCTCTGGGGGATTAGAAGACAAAAGTTTCCTGCCAAAGGTGCAGGCCAATAGAGGGCGGGGTGGGGCCTGTTTGTCTGTAAGGGTCTGCCCCGTGTGGTTGTGTGTGCAGAGATACTTGGTTAAACTCTCTCTCTCTGGAAGACAAAAAAACCTCCCCAGCTGAGTAATATGAAGTAATCAAGACCTGCCCCTTCTCCCCTGCAGGGTGGGAAAGGAGTGGGGGTTGCTTGCCTTGCACGGGTTTGGTCAGACAAAGCGTGGGTAGAGGGGAGTCACCGGTCGGGTGTGAATCTAGTGGAGGGCGGAAGCCGAGTGGGGGGGGGCTTCTTGCGTCAGTGAGGGATCGCAGGAGGAGAGCGGAGGGAGAAAGCGGAGGGGCGAGAGGAGAGAACGGGGATTCAGCGGAGTGTGTGTCTGTGGGGGGCGGGGGGGACGTCTCTGCACGGCGCGGTCCGCTCTAGGGCGTCTCCAGCCCCGCTCAGCCCTCAGGCGCCAGTCCCCAGCCAGGCGCGGGGCGCTCCAGCCTCGCCTGCCCTGCCGGCCGCCATGGGGCTGCGCCCGGGACCCCTCGCGCCCCTGGGCTGGGCACTGGCGCTCCTCCTGTCTTTGGACGCCGGGCTCAGCGAGGCCACCCCGCACTTGAGGTACAACCGGCCGGGCGCCAGGAGCAAGTAAGTGCGTGCGCGGGGCGGGCGGGACGGTCCCGGGGCTGCTCTCCTGTGCCCGGATCGGGGCTCCGCAGCAACTCCCGTGGCAGGGCTGTGGGGGCGGGAGGCTCCGCGGGAATCCCCGGTAGCCTGGGGGTTCGAGATGCAGCTGGGCGAGCCAGGGCGAGAGGAGTGCAAAGCCCCAGCCCTTGAAATGGCTGCAGGAGTGATGGGGGTGGATGCTTGACACTTTGCTCAGGGCGCCGCAAAGTCATTCGCCCGAAGAGCTGATCATAGGCTCGTGCTAGACGACATGAAGAAGGTTTTATGAGCTACAGTCACAGGGCTGTCTCCTGGCGGGTGCTTTTGTTCCCCACTTGACATGCCACTGGCTTAATAATCTTTATTGTTTGTCCCTTTAACTGTGCGTTTGTCCTGCTTTTTGTCACCCCCTCCCAGGAACTGGTGTGCCTACATAGTGAACAAGAATGTGAGCTGCTCTGTGCTGGATGGAACTGAGCGGTTTATTCAGGCTCAGTACAAATGTGCCTGGAACCAGTTTCCCTGTCAACCAGCCCCAGTGTAAGTAAGAGAGGAGGAGAATTCTGGGTGGGGAACCATTGGGTCATCAGTAAATCATTTCCACATCTAGTGAGAACACAACAGCTAACAAGCTTTACAACACCAGAGCTCAGATGGTCTGTGGGGTTTTAAAAGTTTGGGATCTCGGTGTGGGTATTGCAGGACAATGTGTATAATTTTCTAGCCTCTGAGTACTGAGCCATAGCTTGGTTCGTGATTTACTATCTTTTTTTATTACAAACATAAGGCAGCTGAAATGAATTAGAGCCACACTGAGTATTCTGTTGTGAGATCATGCAATAAGTTAATTGTACATTGCTAAAACAAATCAAGGAAGTTACTTGCAAAAGTCTGAACTGTCCATTGATAATTGATTTGGTGCTGATGTCATTCTGGTGATATCTAGTTGGGGTGAATATGCACCTGTACTTCAACTTTTGTGGAAAGAGAGCAAGCACTTGCTGAGAGTACAGTTACCAAACACCTTGGCTTAGAATTATGGGTGCACTGCAGCTGCTTCGCTCTGTTCCAGTGGTACAAAGCAATCATAAACCTGGCTAAAGCTGGCTTTACGGTTGCTTTGCATTGCTGGAACAGTGCACTGGTGAATGTGGGCTAATATGTTTACAGTTTATAGATTCGTAAATTGTCCAGCATAGACAGGAGTCAATGCAAAATTGTTTTTGCTTTTTGTTTTGTAATAAAGCTAGCGCATTATGCACTAAGATATGTTTCTGTAGTACGTGTTTTATGTTAGGTGAGTCATTGTGGTCCAGTGGACAGGGCACTGGAGTAGGAGTCAGGAGATTAGGGTTCTATTCATAGTGCTGCCACTGACCTGTTGTGTGACTGGGGAAAATCACTTTACAGTGCTTCAGTTTCCATATCTGTAAAACAGTAATTATGGTACTTACCCTCCTCTGCAAAGGAATTTGAGATCCACAGACAATAAGATCTGTTTAGGTCTGATCCAACTCCTACTAAAGTCAATAGACTCCCATTCACTTTAATGGATATTGGATCAGACACTAAATGAGCTAAATTTTATTGTTCTAAATAAAAAAACAAAAACTGTTTGTGTGTATTTCTGAACAGACATGAGCGAATGAAGTATGTGGCTGATACTGCAAGGGCCTGAGCACCTCCTGCGATGGGCTCAGTCCACTCAGCTCATTTATGTCTATGGGATCTGAGGATGCTTCTTGCCTCACAGGGGCCTGAGACAATTAAAGGTGCATATTTAGCATTTATAAGACTTTTTGGCACCAAAAAAAAAAAGTACCTTCTTTTCTTATATATACATTGGCCACTTGAGACAAATCATGGGAGGCTCCCTAGACACACAGCTGAATAACCCTGTCTGGGTCATTTCCGATGTTTCTTTTCTTAGATTTTAACTGCCCATTTTAGAGTTGTGACACTGAAGTGGACAAATAAAGATTGGGTGAGGTATATCCTTATTTATTAATGGTGCCTGTCATTGCTTCTGAGTGACAAACCTACCAGAAAGTTATATATGGTAAGCCAGGTTCTAAAATATTGACTGTGAATATCTGATAACGTATACTGGAGGTGTCCATTTTAAAGAAAATTAGATCTTCCTAATTGCAAATCTTTATTTCCTGAATCTCACTTGTGTTATATTGGTGAAGATAAACATTATCTTCTGGTTAACTAGAGTTGGAATTACAAAGCATCTTCTTACCTTTATATAGTATAACTTATATTAAAAATATCTTTCAAGTTTCATATGCATTAAGGTGTATGTTAGTATTGCAGCAGCGTGGCTATAAAACTGTGAGAATATTTTTTAAATAACTCAAAATATAAGTTCTGTAGTCTTGGAAGTTTGCTGTGTGCCCAAAACTCTTTGATATTAGGAGAGTCTATTATTGTTAATATTGATCTATCACTCACTGTGTGCTAGTTTCCTTAAGGATAGAGAATAAGAAAGGAATCTGCACTGCAGAGTTTGTAATCTATGCCCTTGATTCTGCAAACAGTTATGCACATGAATAATTTTACTCACGTGAGTAGCCTCATGAAACCCAATGGAACTACTCATGCAATTAAAGTTACTCATATATGTAAGTGTTTTAAGTTTCAGGACCCAAACATAGACGAGACAGTAAGAGGACAGGGAGAAGGGTTATAACACAATAAAGCCAGTGAGGCAAAGTTCTGTGGTGGTGTTCTTTATTTCCTTTACAAATTTACAGATAGAGGACTAAATCATGAAGTAAATTCTGCTCAAATAGAGTACCTGAGATCTGAATCGGGCATACAACTTGTTACCTGTGTTATAGATGTGTGCCTTTTATTAATGTTGATCTGTGACCATCACTGATGTGTCAAACCGACTTTCTGTATCCAACTTTAAAAACTGACTATACCCCTTCCTATGAGGATTCTCACCTGTTCCATGAAATGTCAATATGTGTCTTTCATTCGTAATAAGCTGAGCAATAAATTGCTAAGAACTGATACCCTTCAAATAGAAGCTCTTCATCATTTTAATGCTGAATATTAAATAGCATTTTAAATTTGCCATTTACTTTTAGTTAGATCGAGATCATGTCCACGGTGCTTTTTTGATATTTGGATGACCTATGTTACATATAAAAATATTTTGATGAAACAAAACTGTGCATTATATATTGTGTATATAACTGTCTTAAATATCAGGTATTTACCTGAACAGCAGATATTCCATACATATGAGAATATATGTATTATGGATATTAATTACAATGATAGTGAACTACTCTATAGAAATATGAATTCCAGTGGCATGTGAATTCATGAACTCATTTTTAATTACTTCTTACCCATTAGTCCTATTAAAAAATATTGTTTGTTTTTGTGTTTTTTTTTTTTTAAAAAGGCTGTTGAATTACTGCATTGCTAGGAAATTTTAACTGTAACAACTTTAAATACAATTTAAGCAAATACATCTTGTAAGTTAAAATTCAGGAATGAAGTAATTGCAGTAGGATCTCATTATATTTAAGTATCTTTTGATATGTATTGGAGCCCAGTACTACAATCTTTCACTGAAAAGTTAGTGGGAGTTTTTTCTGAATAAGATTCTAGACCTATATGAGCAGATGCTTGGAGTCTAAGGAGTAGGAAGAGAGAAGGAAGAAAAACCAGAAGGGCTCTTTGAAGTATTTTCTGTCCTGGAGAGAGATTTGATTTATTTTTCTTAAACTATGACCGGCCCTGGAGAGAGAGGGGGGAACCAACAACAAACCTTTGCTGTCGGTGGGAAGTCAGAATAAAATGTACTTATGCAAAAATGTCCATGGGTTTACTTACCCACACTCAAATATTTTTATAATTTAAAAAATCACTAATGTTTACAAATAACTGACCTGTACTACCTTATTTTTTATGTATTTATTTTACTTTTTTCCCTTCCATTGTTCATCACTCACTTCGGTTTCTTATTGAAGGGTTATTCATGAGAGTTGGGTTGATACCATTATTATATATTTTAATATAATTATTATAAGAAAACTAGATATGGTAAGCCAGGTATATGTGGTAAACTATATATTGGACTTCTGGCAAATAACAAGTGTAGAATAGTATCCAATATAATCTTCTATATGAGGATTATGGGACTGATCCTACAAATATCTATGCATGTGAATAACTACTCATGTAACTAGTCCCATTGATTTCTATGGTTTGACTCATGGGAATAGAGTTATTCAGGTGCTTAAATGTTAACTGGGTCAGGCTATATGTTCTTACCTTGTGGAGGGTGAATTTAATTATTTTAATTGGTCTTTTTCATCTTTAACTTCTGTGATCAACATATAATAAACAGGGAGACAGATTATTCCACTAGATTGCAAGTAATTAGAACAGACAGGAAAAATGACAAATTGTCTAAAAATAAGTGTGACTAAATGAATATTTGTAAATATTTGAATGAATATTTACAAATTGACCCATTAAACAAGTATTTTTGAACCTATTGTTTTTACGTATATTTATCGCTATAAATAAATCTAATTCCAGAATAATCACAGTGTGATAAATGCCAACATCTGAATAAAACATAGACAGAATTATATAAAACAAAAGACAGTGAAACACCCATAAGCTCTAATCACTAGTATATGTAATTGTAAAGGCTGGGAGACCAACCTATAAGTAGCATCAGACAAAATGTGTTAATAAAAACATTCCAGGTAAAGATGTAAACATTATTTTATTTAATGGGGGGAAAAAGAATATTCAGGTGCTCCCTTTAGAAAGAAAAAGGTAGACCAGATCCTTGGTGTAAATCAGTATTGCTGGTTGTTATCTACATTTTTTTTTTCTGGCATACATGCTGCTGTTTCAGTCCCTGTTCCTTACATATAGGGTACTATAATAGGGTTCAGTCCTGCTCAGATGGAGCGCTCTGAACCCAATCCAGCATAGCACATGCTTAACTTTCAGCTGTTGGCAGTCCCGTGGTAGTCAATGGGACTACTTGAGAGTTGAAAGTTTAGCATGCGCTTAAGTATTATGCTGGATCAGAGCCAGAGTACTCTGCACTGGGCAGGATCAAGCCCAGGTACAATACTCCTGGAAGGATCAGGGTCTAAGTTTGTATCTGGCTTTCAGAAGTCAATATCACAAAAGGAAAAACCCTTGAAAACACAGACTCTATGTTAAGTACAAAAGGGGAAAACTGAGGACTATTTTATATTTCCCCCTAAATATCAAGAATGGAGGGTTTTTTTTTGTTTTTAAAGAGAGGGTATCTTGTGTGGGACAGAAATCTCTCAGTACAGGCTCCTGCTAGCTGACTACATGGAGAGTTTAGCCTAAGGATGGGACATTGAAGGCAGTAAGAAAACTTTAACATATCTGAGTTTCCTGGAGTGTTTGTTTGTTTAATCTTTGCAAGACGGCTGGGTGTGGTGAACTTGCCTGGCTGTGTGTCTCTGAACTTAATGTTGTGTATCTCTGTCTATGCACACAGCAAACAACACTGCCTT